TGCCTGTTCATAAGTTAACCAGGTTATACACTTTTTAATAAAAAGGTGCATCATTTTTTACAGTGCACCTCTTTCTGAGCCTCGCCTGCACCAGCTTGTTTTCTCTGTTTGCACAGGACAATCAGAAGCAATATGACCTGACTTGAGTCAATAAAAACACTCGACATGGGGGGAGAGATAGTGCAGTGGTACTATAATAAACCACTGCACCCTACAAACGTCTTAAACTCTAAAAGGATCAAAGCACACAACTTGTCATACATGCCAAAGTTTTACCCTGGAAAACTCTGCTAAAGGTTTGAGAAGAGAGTTCTCTTCAGTTACAGTAGGTGCAACAATACAAAATATTTTTATTTTAAATAATATGTAGCTCCTAGTGGCGGTGGCAGGCGTTCGTATGTTTTAGAAATTATATTAGCATGTTTTATACTGGGTGTAGAGTATCATACCTGAAGAGCCCAAGAGCGGAAATAGTTCTATAATGGGTTACATTTAGGTTTAGTTTTTGTTTGTTTTGTTTGAAGGATTTGTCTACTGTAAATTCAGTCTGATTTACTTTTGTATGTGGATTGCTGTAGAATATTCTAATCAATTAGCAGCTTTAGCAAACACACACACAGAGCAACACATGCAAGCTACTCCCATTTTCAATGAAGGCCAAAGACAAAAAAGCAACAGACTTTAAGTGAACTGGCTGTAAAAGAAAGCAAGTAAAATCAAGCAGAGCAATTACGCCTCTAACGAAACTAGTTAGAACTTGTGGTTTTGGTGATATAAAGTGCCTTGATATAGGAAATCAGACAAGCTGAGATCAGTCCTACAGAGTTAAGAAATCACCACCTACGCTCTATAGAGTACACACTCGCAAAACCACAGCCTTAACTGCATCCCTGGGGGATTCCCATTGTCAAAGCCTCTCTATCACAATCGTAACTGCCAGTGGTGACATAGCTATGACCTCTACAAGCTGAACACTCATGGTCTCGTTTATGTACCTTCGTTTATGAGCTTATTTGAAAGTCCAGAGTGATCAGTGAGTGAGACACAGAAATGATCAGAAAGGACCAGGTTTTGACCATAACAGATTAAATGTCAAGGCTTGTAGAAATAACCAGATCCACAAAGTGGCCTCAAGTGTCTGCAGGCTCTTTCACATGCTGCGAGAAACCAAAAGCATCATGTACAAAACATTAGGAAGCACTTTAAAGAAGGTAATAAGCAGGTAATTATATGGTAATATAGCTACTTATTCTTTATTAGCATTTAGGAAATTAGCATGTTATTTTTTAGGTTAGAATAACTTGTTACCATAACTTTACCATGTTATTAACAACTTGTTAGCACTTCAATTATAAACTCATGATTTATTAACAACTTGTTAGCACTTCAATTATAAACTCATGATTTATTAACAACTTGTTAGCACTTCAATTATAAATTCATGATTTATTAACAACTTGTTAGCACTTCAATTATAAACTCATGATTTATTAACAACTTGTTAGCACTTCAATTATAAACTCATGATTTATTAACAACTTGTTAGCACTTCAATTATAAATTCATGATTTATTAACAACTTGAAAATAACCATGTAATTTTTAGGTTATTATAGCTTGTTGCCATTACCTTACTATTTTAGTACCAACTTGTTACTCCTATAATTACCAACCTATTATTTAGTAACAACTAAAAAAATAGCATGTAATTTTTGGGTTAGTACAACTTGTTTATTGTTTCATATTACCATATTATTACCCACGTATTGCTGACCTGTGAAGTGCTACCGAAGCTATATGGCATTATTGTCCATTTTATTATCCATGTAGATGTAAAAGTCACAGGTTATGATAAAGTTGTACTCAGTGGAGATAACTGACAGTAGTTCAGCAAACACATCAATCAAATTTACAGAGTGTTTTGGAGGTCTCTGAATGATTAAAATGAAATTTTGGGAGTACCATTCAATATGAAAAGCTATTAAAAAGAGATCAAGTTACCAAGTCTTTGATCAAGTCTTTGCACTGGAATGTATCTTTAATTAAAGCAGCTACTCCTCCTCCTTTCTTATCAGGTCAGCACATATTCATAAAACTGAACACAATCAAGTTTGTAAGATATTATGATTTAAAGTATCATTTCAAAGGTAGATGAGTAGTGAAGAGCAAAGTGAAGGTTGTCCTTTAATGTGGTCACTCCAGTTCTGCTTAGCTGGACACCGTCCAGCCTAAAAAATTCTCTGCACCCTCAGAATAGAATGAAATGATCAGTATAATTAAGTCCTTAATTCAGGTTCTCCTCAGCCACATATTGAGGAACCTTTGAGCTTTTAACTTCTCAGGTATTAAACAGGTCAGTGAACTCACTTTTTTAGGATTTTTGCCTACATGCTAAATAATTGATTGCCCAGTGCAGGGAGAGCATGTTGGGAAGTTCCTCATTTAATTCCAAGACAGCATGTTAGCACTTTGGTGCTGTTGTTCCTGATAGTGTCATCACCCATGATCAGAGTGCTCAGTGCGGTGCTGTCAGCCTAGAGCTGCTGCTTGTTAGGCCTTGTGTCTTTGCTTGTCCGCTTTGAGTCCTTTTGAGTCCCTGAGTTTTCTAGCCTTAGCTTTGCTTGTCGAGTGGTGTTGACCTTCTGTTGACTCACCTTTCAGTGCAAGTGGGATGATGCTGAATCCATTTCTCTGGTCCTTTATGTTTGTTACGTCTGTAGCAGTTGGAGCTTCATGAGGAACCTGCCATCATAAGCCCTAGAAGCCTTAGTCCGTTGTTTGTCTGCTGATTGATAGTCTTGAGTGCATGAGTCCTGTAGTTCTGATGGCTGGAAGACAAGTGTCCAGTCCAGTTATGTGCTTCCTCAAAGGATCTGTGGGTAAATGAGCTCAGTGTGCTGTTTGACCTCTATAACTAAGGAAATGATTAAATATTTAAGGGAAAAAGTACTAAAACTAAAAGGGAGCAGAGAGCAGGAAGAAAGTGTGAAGCCAGTGTGAAGCAACGAGAAGGAAGAAACCACCTAGTCACACTAGATGCTACTGGAACTTAGAATGGAACTGGGTTCTAGGTCAGAAGATAAAAAATAAAGTTTATTATAAACACCTAAGGTGGGATTGGTGTATAAAGAACTTTATTGTTAAATATGGTGGAGAATCTGATGTTTTGAATCTGATGTTTTTCCTCCAACTGTAAAATACTCCAGTAACGCCAAGCTGGTACAGACCATTAAGTAGCTTTGTTCATGGAATCTTTTATCTCAATCGTTTATTTTTATTTAACATTGTGTTTTATTATATTGTATGTTATTAAACTTTATATTGTTGGGCAGCAGTTTATAGTTTATAGTTCATTTGAAATCTTCACACATGCTCAGAATAAAGTGACTCAGCCTTCAGAGACCACTTCAAACACTGAAATGGTCCAAATGTGTCATCCTTGTACTAAGTTGGACGCAAATGCTGTTCACAGTGGATCTTTATCATAATGAATATTAAAATCTATAATTAATGCTTTATCAGTAGACTGTGCTGTTCCTGTTAATGCTATGAGTGATTTATGGACAACAGCGTATGGTGAAGTGTAAACAGTAAACTGCTTATGATATCCTAACATGGTAGAATATATAGATAAATGAAAGTACAGATAGTCTTTATTGTGGTAATGGTGAACACTTGTGCACTGATTAGATATGTGGCTGTTTTCAGTAATTTGATAAAGCACAATATTAAATGCACACGGCAACATGATGGTGGATAATTTGAAACACTGACTGTAATTTAATCAAACAGGCTGCAGTTTAACCTGAGGTTCCTTAGACACACAGAGCAGCTCTGCTCTCCCAAACTCCCACTGTGCTCCCACACTCTGATCATGTGACACAGTCCCTCCTCTGAGAAGAGCTTATAAATGTTAGTAATTAATTATTTTGTATCAACTGGAATATCAACATATTCACTGGTAGAGTTGGTTACCATTATTTTTTTGGTTTTATTACAAACAAGTTTCCACTACAATTACTAACTTATGATTTGGTAACAACAAAAAAATCATGTAATTTTTTTAGGGTTAGTGCAACTTTTCACCATAATATGACCACATTACCCACTTATTACTGTCTTAATTACTGTAAAATAAAGACCTACCAAAATCAGTCATCATGGTAGTTACCAGTCAGTGAAGAGTGTCTGATGGTGCTGTATTTAATCATTAGTGT